GCCATTTCCCTAGCTCTGGCCAAGGGTCAAGTATACACAGGACCTGCTGTAGGTCCTCTGAAGAGCTACAAGGAAAGGCAGGAGGAAGTGGCAGGTGAAGAAGTAGGCGGAGCTGGGAAGCGATAACCACCTTGGAGACGTGGGGTGGCCCATGCACCATCTTAATTAACTAGGGACCAGAGGCTGCTTTCCAGCTGCCTTAGCTCATTTCTGCCTGGGGCTGTAGAAAGCAGCCTTCACCTCGTGGAAGCTTCAGGTTCGACCTTCTGCATAACTTTGTTCTTGGTGGTAGCCAGGAACTCTGGGAATTGGGAAGATGAGGCAAGAGGGAGTGAGGAGAAGGGAAGGGAGGAGAGAAAAGGGCAGGGAGCTCGGCTCGCGAGGAGCCGCCATGGTGGGGAGGGACATGGAGCCTGCTGGCACAGGAAGCGTGCTAGGGTAGGACACGGCGGGGAGGGCAGGCAATGTGGAAGGGGAAACAGTGTGGAGAGAAAGACTCAGAAATTCATTCATTCATTTGTCTTTTCACTCACCTATTCAATAAAGATGCCACCATTGAGATCATTGCTAATCGAGGTATATGCAAAATGCTTAAAAAATGTAAAAGGAACAAATAAAAAATTCATGGGTTGCAGGAGTGGGAAAGTGAGGGGAGTGGGCCAATTTTGCCGAAGATATTTAGGTCAAGCCATGAAGCAAGCAAAGGTGAAGCCAGCCCCCAAGTCCTTCCCAGCTCCGTGGCCTTTTAAGGTTCTCTTCTGGAACCTTTAGATCCCAGTCTGGCTGTTGTTCTCGTGGCTTCGAGTCCTAGTTCTGCCACATACTTGCTATGTGACCTCAGGTAAGTGATCTAACCTCTCTGAGCCTCTATTTTCAGCCATAAAATAGGGATAATACCGATTGCGAGGGGTGTCAGGAGATTCAAACACAGTGATATGTGACAGGTACTTTGACGGGCACCTGGCACCCGTACAGGACGCTCTCCAGACAACCCGCGGCCGAGATCGTCAGTGCTGGGAGCAGCAGCAACTTCATTCACCCGACTCTGGGCCTCTGTCTTTGGTCAGGGGAGGAAAGCCGAGGCTCTTCCCAGCATCCCCCATCCCTGGCCCCCAGCCCTTGCGGAAACATGAGAAGCTGAGCTTGAGGATCTAATGTGTGCCCCCCCAAGCCCCTTAATCCTTCCTGAACTTGGAGGGGGGGCAGCCCTGCTGTAACACCTGCACGGCTCTGACATCTCCTGCCTCTGGGCAGAGAAAGCAATTTCAGAAATGACATGTTGCCAACAAGCAGAAATCAGCTTCTGAATTAAAATGTGTCGGCATCAGGTGACCCCAGGCTCGGAGGGCTGGCTGCACGAAGACAGCTGAGATTAGGGCCTGTCAGCCACAGGAGGGGCTGTGTGGGAAGGGGTGCAGGCACCCGGGGGGCTACTGGTGGCCGCCCTGGACTTGTTTGGACGGGGGGCAGGAATTCGGATGCTGGGTCAGGTTCTCCTATGACTCCGACCAGTTTCCACCTCTCAACTGTCCACTGTCTGTGGTGGAGGCGGGGCAGGGAGAGTCAGGGACTCCTCCAGGGCTCCAGCGCGTAAACACTCTAATGGGCTCGAGAGAGAGCCAGGGAGGAATGTGGGCCCCACAGGCCCCGGGGACTCAAGGAAAGATGGGAGTAAAGGGGATAAGAACCCAAGGGGCTGTCAGCTTCAACACTGCAGGTATGCAGGGAGGAGAGAAAAGGGGGGGGGGGAGAGGAAAGCAAGAAGGAGGAGGGACAGAGTAAAAGGGAGGAAGATACTACCAGCCATAATGAATCCTTGCAATTCCCTGATGCCGCCTGCTCCCTGGTTCCCAGACCTTCGCACAAGTCATGCTCTACACGGTGGGACCAGAGGCACGAAGGGGCTGTTTCATTTCCAGCCAGCCCTATTGCTTATTGTGGCACCTTGGGCATGCCAAGGGGACCTCTCTGAGCTTCAGTTTTCTTACCTATAATATGGGTTCATGGTTTTATGTAACCCTAGCATGGTCATAGTGGTTAACTGAGATGATCCAGGGAAACGAGACTAGGGTTCCTGCGCAGTGAGGTGCCCCTCACAGGGCTCATCACCCAGTGATCCCTTTTCCTTTCTGTGACTTCCCTGAAGGCCCAGCCTAAGTCTTGTCACCACGGCACTCTGGCACACTCTAGGTGGGCACTTAGTTTGCTGAGTGATCAGTTACAAGAAGACACACCAGGTGAGAGATGTGAGAAGTGATAGAAAAGGGTGGGGGGTCAGCAGAGGACCCTGCCCCATGGCTCTCTCTACAGAATGTCCCCACACCAATCACAGATCATTCCTCTGGTCTTTGACAGACTTCCTTCTGGAGTAGAGCTTAGCAGGCTGTGCTGGATACCTAGGCGGTGACCATATTTCCCCTGTGGGAAACGGGACATATGGGATCACTCCATGTGTGTCTAGGTGTTGGCAGAGGCAGAATAATTGACCTTGGGCCTGTCTCAGGAGCTCCAGGGCTTGGGGCCACCTCAGTTGGGCTCTACAGAGCTGGGAATCCGGCAGGGGCCAGAGCAGGGCCAGTGGGGATAGTGGGTCATCAGGAGTAGCAAAGAGGGAGGCCGAGGCACTGCTGAGCCTCTAGGGTTGGACGGAGGTGGTCCAGGGAGACAGCAGCAAGGCTGCCTCAGGCTTTGCAGAGAGGCGTCTCCTTCCCCTCGCTCGCTCTACTGGTCTAAACACCTCCCACAACTGCTGCAGCAATTCTGCTGGAAGATGGCTCCCCTTGGCACGCCCTACTCAGAGCTGAGTCACCAGAGAAGAAACCTGGGGGTTTTAGAAGATTCCAGAGGGCAGTGGGTGCGGGTTCAGGCATGAGAAAGGCCAGAGCCGGGAAGTGAACTCTGCCACTCACTTGGCAAATGGTTTCCTGAGCCTGTTTCCTCATCTGTGAAGTGGAGTAAGAACTGCGGTTGTGAAGATGAAAAGGAATGCCCTGGGGGGAAGGGAGAAGAGAACTCTCTTCTTTATGGCCAAATGAAAACGGGAATGACAGAATCAGGGAATCGCCACTTGCAGTCGATTTGGGCAAGGATTCGCAGTGGAGGCTGAAACTATTGGGTAAAGTGTTGGGCCACAGGATATTCCCACAGTCTCAGAGCATCGCCCCACGGATGAGTCATCCATCACATGAATCACAAAGGAAGAAAGGCGACTTTGCTTCGGAGAAGCCTGTCGGAAACCACATTAACCAGGTGATGAAACCCCGCATCACCGGTAAGGTTGACAAACTGACATCCCTTGGCTCTCGACAGCACGCACGGAGGACACACGGCACCCACGTAGACCGCCTGCCCAAATCTAATCTAACCGGAACCCAACTCCACTCATAAGGCACCAATCAGACAAATCTCCACTGAGAACCATTCTGCAAGACATCTGGTCCGAACGATTCAAAAGTCAACGTCATAAGAACGAAGCAGGCAGGGGGACTCTTCAAGACTACAGGAGACTAGAGAGACATGACAACACAATGCAATCACTGCCTGATTCTTGGGTGGATCCTGAATCAGGAAAAACATATAAAGGACACTTTGAGGGACAATTGGGGAAGTCTTAGCGTGGACTGTGCAGTAGTTAATATCATGTCAGTGTCAAATTTCTTGGACGTGCTGATGGCCTTGTGGAGAATGGACATTCTCCTTCTTTTGGAGAATGTTTTATATGAAAGGTTTTGTTTATTTATTTATTTACTTACTTACTTATTTATTTTAGAGAGAGAGGAAGGGAAGGAGAGAAACATCAGTGTGTGAAAGGAACGTCGATCAGCTGCCTCTCACACTCCCCCATCTGGGACCTGGCCCGCAACCCTGGCAGGTGCCCTGACTGGGAATCAAACCACCAACCCTTCCATTCCCAGGCCGGTGCTCCATCTGCTGAGCTGCACCAGCCAGGGCTGGAGAATGTTCTTGTTCTCAGGAGATATATGAGAAAATATTTAAGTGTCTCAGAGTCTGCAATGTTCTCACAAATGGCTCATTAAAATAAATACATTCACACACAGAGTGAGCAAATGTGGTTAAATATTTTAAGGGGGGTGCACCATGGGTAAAGTACCCACCTAGCGATCGTCTCAGAAAGCACTGATTTCCAGGAAGAGTGCAGCTCTGAGCCACTGAGGGTGAAGAGGCCCGAGGGTTTGTGTGGAGCTGGTTTATCGACAGGAGCAGGGAGAAGCTCAGCTCGGGGTGGGGGAGGCTGAAGTAACATGGGATACAAAGAACACGGATTTGGAGGCAAAGACCTGGGTTGACTTCCTAGCTATTCGGCCTTCAGTGAGTCACTTGACCCTTGTGTGCCTCAATCTCCCTATGTAAAAAGGGAATAAGGATGCCCTCCCTGTGAGGCTCAAGTGAGCAGACAAGTAAGAAAGCCCCTGGCACAGCGAAGCCTGCAGTGCATGTGGGCACTCTGTCCCAGCCCCAGGCCAGGACACCGGCAGGAAGAGCACGTTAGGACAGGAATGCAGGTGGAACTGTCGGCGCCCTCAGGGTTGGACTGTGGACCTCCCTCTGCCTCCCTCCCTGGGACCCTTGTGGATCCCAGCAGGGCTGGGGGTGGGGGTGGGGCAGGGACAAGCCCTCTCTGCTTCCCTGTGCTCAAAAAGGGGCCTCCTGCCCCATCAGACCCTCAGGAGTGTGGCTGGTTGAGGACATGCATTTTCCAAAGCATCCGGGAGGCAGTGCGGCCAGAGGAGGGACTCTTGGGCGGACACATAAATGACCCAAACCATTGCATGCCCATGCCTCTCGTTTCTCCTACCGGATCGTAAGTCCCAGAGGTACTGGCTTTGCTTTATCTTGCCCCCACCCTAACCTGCATTGCTGGCCATTAAACAGGGACTCTGGAAATACCCTCTCTGGGAAGGGAACCAGGCTGCAGCATGACCTGACTTGGCATGTGACCTCGGAGGGGTTACTTCCTTCCTCTAGGCCTCAGTTTACCCAGAATCCATAAAAGGGGGTGACCCGTCCCTGAAATACCCACATCTGAGTGGCGGCAGCAGTGAGAGAGGAAGGAACACATGCGCTGGAGGCCGGCAGCTCTGTGCTCCAAGCCTGACACCAGTGCTGGTGGTGTTTGGGCCTTCCCATCTCACAACGCCAACTCCCTAACGTTCCCGTTGGGGCAGCTGTGTCCAACGAGCCAGGTGGTCACAACCAATCGAAACACAAAGGGCACAGACAGCTGACACGTCGTTTATTGGTTTATTGTCTCTCTCTCCCCCACTAGAGCATCAGCCCTAAGAGGCAGGGACATGGTCTCTGCTCACCCCTGCACCCCAGCCCCATGGTGGTGCCTGGCGCTCAGTGGGAGCTCCCTAAACAATTGTCGATAGCATGGATGGACAGAACGGGTACTCAATATATGACAGCTCCCATTGTAATTCTCAAATGTGCTAAGAAAAAAAGCATTTGAAGTTCATGGTTGTTGACAAAGAAAACTCTGGAAAGCAAGAAATAATCTTCAGGGTTGGCATTGGTCTGTCCATCTGTATTCCGGGCAAAGAGGACACCAGAGAGGCTGGGTTTGTCTGCACCAGGGGATGGACATGACGCTCCCATGGGAGCCACGAGGATGGGCCAGAGTAACGTGGGCTGAGGTGGGTGGTACCTGGCAAATGGGGAGCCCTGTGCCTCCCATCCTTTGGGGCTCCCCTTCTGTGGCCAGGTGGGGATGCAGGTCCACTCCATCAATGCAGCTGATTTTACAAGAAAAGCCAGGAAGCCAATGGCAAATAATCCATTTTAAAAAGGAAAACACAAATAAGAGCAAACAAGCCCCCCAGTGGCTGGGAGCAGCCCTGTGATGTTGCCCACTCGCTCGGGCAGCCTAGGCAGAAGGAGGGGGCCAACGGCGGAGCCCCACGTGTGGCCTCCACCATGTCCTGGCCACTCTAGACTTCTCAGGCAGTACTAGCCTGTGAGACACAGGACTCTACTTAGAAAAATGTTGAAGTGCTGTCCCGGCCCAAGGGGCCCATGTCGCACATGGTCAGGGAAGCAGCCACTTCCTTGGGTCCTTGGGCTTGGGACGTATCCAGGCTTTGGGGCTGCTGGGCTCAGGCTGGGTCAGCTCCCATAGTGCCTGGCCTCTGGAGAAGCTCAGGAAATAGTCACTGAAGGGACCTCTTCTGCACGACCTTGAGCATAGCCCTGCATCCCTGGCCACAGCTGTAAAAGGGGCCCAGCGATGTGGCCCCACCAACTGGCAGGGATAATGGGGGAAGCAAGGGAGTGTAAAGGGGTGAGGGTGTTTCTGAAGATTGAAAGTGCTTCACAAAGGCAAGGTGTGGTCATCCTTGTTACTATTATTGTGAGCAAGATAGTTCAGCCAGAGGAAAAGAGGGGGCCTGGGCCCCCGGAGAGCAGGGAAGTTACAGGTTTCAGAAGGAGGATGGGGATCAAGGCCCCTGGGGCTCACGTGGAAGGGTGGGTCTGGGGGGGGGTTGCTGCAGGTGCTGCCCATAGAATACAGGAACTATATAAATAACATAAATATTTTCTCATATATCTTAGCTATATAAATTATTCTCTTTATGTGAGGTAGACAACAAATACCCTGTGAGTGCTTCCCTTAAAGCTATACAGAATGAGACGTCAGTGGTAACCGGTCCCCAGGGTCCCAGCAGGGCTGAGGTGGAACTTTGGGGGCAACTGGAAGAGAAAGAGAGGGAGCAAGGGAGGAGAAGAGAAGAAAGGGCTGGGGAGGGATGACCCTGTAGGCCGAGGGGCCCTCAGAGCCTGCACCGTGCCCTTGGCCTGGGTTGTCAGCGTTGGTTGCCAGCCATGGTGTTGGTCGCTCAGAGTCGGCCCTTTATCCTCCTGCAACCCTGACACTGCCGGCCACGGGGCTGGGGTGCAGGTGGTGTGTTGGTGGATCAGGACCCCTCTTTCTGAACCTCGGGTTGCGCCAGGGTGGAGGCAGTGCTGGGGATCAGAGGAGCAGGATGAATCGGCCAACTGAGAGGACGTCTCCTTGCGATGGGGGTGGGAAAGAAACGAGCAAACAAGCCCTGTCTCCATTTTGCTCTTTCCGCCAAGATGTGGGCCAGCTGCTTGGGTCAGCAGTCAGTCTAGAAAGGGGTCTCATCGGAGCCGCTGCAGCCAAAGATCCTTCCAGCGTCCTGCAGGCTGCCCTGGTCCACTGAGAACAGGGTAGCTCCTTCTCACCCTTGCGGGTCTCAGGGGGCCCCCAGGGCTTCTTCCTGGGGCTTTCATGGACGGTTTTTGAGCATTCTGCTGATTCTGAAGTTTCCTGTTTCAGCCGAGGGTCAGCAACTCTGGGTTCAGGGAGAAAGGAAGCTGACAGAGGGTGTGGCAGGGCCAGCAAAGTGGCCAAGGGCATCCCAGAGGAGGCCACTTCCTCCCAGCTGGCATTGAGCCCTGTTCTGGGGAAGCACACAGCCTCCAGAAAGGTGATCCCTGCAAGGCCTTGGTGCTGAAGCAGAGGGCTGTGTGCTGCTGAAGGGAGCCCTCAGCCTGGCAGGTCCATGGGGTGTGTGTGCACACGTGTGTGTGTACCAGCCTCTCTCTCCTAGGCCCATACAGGGCCTGGTAGGTAGCACTGAAAACGTCCACAGGACTGGAGAAAACTACCAAAGTCACTTCTGTCCCTCAGGTAGAACCAGAGTGTGGGGCCAATAGCAAATGAAAAGACCCCCAAGAAACCAGGTTTAGCAAAGACTTTTCATGTCCCTATACCTCTAGCCAGGGCAAAACCTTAACTAGATGAGTAGCTGTAAGAGTAGAAGTGTAACCAGAATCAGAAGGCATATGCCAACTCTCCTGCATCATGAATGTCAACTGTGTTGGAACCTCACAGCATGGAGGGAACCCCAGCTACCAGGCAGCTGACCAAAGCTGGCTGCAAGAGAGGTCAAGAAACTGAGCTTGCCCCATCCCTGCCTGGCACCAGGGGGCAGGGACCCTCTCCTGGGATGGGACTAAAGGGTCTGTGTCCCAGGGAAAACAGGAAGGGTTCCCTGTGTCTCTGTGCCACCTCAGTGCCCCATCTGAGCCCCACCCTGGGGACTGGCTCTCCCTATGGGTCCTACATCCGCTGGTGCTCTGACTGAGCAAGGCTGGGTGGGTGTGGATTACAGCTCTCAGGACAAGAATGAGGCCTCAGCACAGGCATATTTTAAAACAAAGTCAAGGACACAGAGTTCCAGGGCATGTGTCTGACTTGGGTCCACTCATGCCCAGAAAACCTTTTTTCCTCCAAACCAAGAGCTCCCATCACCTGGCCTTTCCCCTCATCTCTAGTACAGCAAAGCCATTCAGGTAGCGCTGGTGTGTGGTCCCCAGGCTCGCTGCCACCTCAGCAGGCCCAACAGGAGGGACCGTCCCATCCCGGCTGACACTGCCTCCCTGTGCCTTCTTGACTCAGAAGCTCAACTCCCTGCCTCTTTCTGGTTCCAGACCACTTATCCCAGGCATTGAGATGGTGGGAGATTCCCCCTCTCCCCTCTGAACCTTGGTCTTGCCCTCCTCCTGGTCTTTTTCCTTCTACGTCTTTCCCATTCTGCCTTCCTGTTCCAAGTCCTCAAAAAGGTTGGAGACCCCGGCTTCGGTGGAAGGGCCTGCACCTCTCATTCTGAGAGCTGAGGGAGGGGAAGACGGCCCGGCCCGATGGAGACAGGAGTGCGCATGCTCTGGCACACACGTCGATGAGCGCATGCCTGCAGGTGGCTTCGAGGAGCCGGCCCCGAGGGGGTCCCGGCAGTGCCCAGCTGGCACGCTGGGCAGCAGACCTAGTGCTTACAGGTGTACACCAGCTCCTCCTGCACGCACTGCTGGCACTCCACGTAGCAGCACCACTGCACCTGGCAGTGACAGGAGAAGGCCACCAGGCGGCTCTGGGTGTCGTAGCCCCGCCCGCAGCACAGGCTGCTGCAGCTGGCTTCCCGGGAACACACTCGGCCCGCTGTGCCAGGGGAGTACTTGCTGGGCCGGCAGAAGCTGGGTGAGTCCTCCATGTAGACCAAGTCCCCGGGCCGGGGGGCCAGGCCCTTGGTTGCGCTGCCTGGCCTAGCAGGTGCCCACAGCTCCAGGCGGCCCAAGGCCTCATTGGTGGCACTGGACACCTTGACAGCTGAGTCATAGCGCAGCTTCAGCATCTGGCCTGTCTCTCGGAATGGGGAGAGCTGCTTCCAACAGGTGCGCACGGCACAGGAGCCTGACACGCCATGGCACTTACAAGTGGTCCTGAGGCCACTCTTCACAGCCTGCGAGGAGAGGCAGGATAGAGGTGTGGTCAGAGGCCCAGGGCCCACAGCCTGAGCCTGCCCCCAGGGTGCCGACCACTTCAGGGGAGTGGCCATCAGATGGGATGTGGCATCAGTTGTGGCACCTTTGTGCAAACTAGCCCAAGGCTTCTCGTCCGCTGGGTGGAGGCAGCCCAATGCCAGCGTGCATGCTTCTGTGAGAGCAGTGTGGGCAGGCTCTCAGCCCCTGCCCTGTCCCTTGGTCAGAGTTCTTGTGTAGTGGACAACTTGCACGTGTGAACACAGCCGCTGTGCTTTACACCAGCTCAGTGATGAGGGCGCAGAGCACAGAACTCGGTTTCCTGAAGAACTGGAGTTCCAGCCTGTCCCAGCCTCCCCACCCAGTAGACTTGGACACCTTTTACCCTCAGTCTTCCCTCTGCTCTGTGACCTCAGCTAACTCCCTTCCCTTCTCTGGGCCGCCTCCTCTTCCCATTTGTAAGCTTTCAAACTACGTTGGCTTCTGGGACCTCCAGGAAGGCTAGCCCTTGGAATAGAGACCCCGCTCCAACATGTTCCTGCCTTACCATGGCCTGGTCCCAACTTCCGCCTGACTTCCGCCTGCTACCCAGAGCTGATGACACCCAGGACCCTTCCCTGCTTCCTGATCATGGTCTACAGCAAATGCCCAGGGAATGCTGGTCGAAGGAATGGGGTTCATCCTGGGATAGCAGTATGTGTGCTGCGGAGCAGGGCACGGGAGGACCTCCTACAGGCCAGCTCCCTGACTGGAAGGGCCTTGGGCCACTCAGGAACATGCTCACCTTGATGCCCACGTGGGTGTTGTGGGCGTCTGCCCGTGCCCGCAGGTCTTTGCTTCCTCTCTTGGGCCCCAAGAAGTTGCTCAGAAACTTGGTGCTGTACTTGAGGTTGTCGCCACACACGCCCCACTGCCAGGCCTGCCGGCTCTCCAGGCCCGGAGAGTCATCGCAGGTGCAGCGCTCCATGCGCCCAGCACTGCAGGCCCTGGCCAGCGTGTGGGTGAGGGCAGCTGAGGACACCGAGTACAGGAAGGCCGTCTCCTTGAAACCTGGGCCAGGAACCGGGGAGATTGGGGGAGAGGAGGAGAGTGGGCTTACAGGCTGCCCAGGTGGGCAGGATGAGGGGTTTGGGAACCTGAGGACACAGCTTGGGGCCACTGCCCTGCCGCCTGCCCCTTAAACACGGGCCGCAAGTTGCTGTTTACAATGGGACTTGAATTCACTGCGAAGTATATGCCTGGATTGGCCAGGCGGCAGGTTGGGAACCCATGAGAACAGTGAGATGCAAAGAGAGGTGACTTAGGCACCTGGTGAGGCACTGAGCTGGGGCCGAACCACTGATCCTGCTTCCAAGTCCCTGTGTGAACAAGTTGGACTGAATCACTTCGTAAGCCCCAGATCCCCTGAAATATGCCCGGTAGGCCTCCTGTACTCCATGATAATCTTCAGATGTCATTCTCTGCTGCCTACTGCGGAGTGCACCCGATGACAGAGTGACTTTGGGTCTATCGCCAGACTGACCGTCCATCCACTTCTGGAACTACTGCAGCTCTTGCCCTGCTAGGGTGTGCCCCAGAGCTGGCCTCCCTCACGGGCCCGCTGCCTCCTGCCTGCTCTCCCGGCGTACTGGGCTGCTGGCGACACTGGGGGGTGGGATCAGCTCTGGCCCAGGCTCGCCCCAGCCTGGGGGAGCAGCTGGCCCACAGGGGGCTGGCTGCTGCTCTGTGTTATGGCTGCCTTTTCGTAAAAGCCCTGTTATGGCCCCTGCCCCTGGGTGACGGAGTCACATGATGGCCTGTTTCCGCCCGTGGGCTGCATGCTTTCTGAGGGTTGACGGGGTCTTGACCAGCTCTGTGCCTTCAGCATCCAGCACAGGGCCTGGCTCACTGTGAGCCTCACCAGATGCTTAGTGTACAGATGGCCAGTGGAGACATGGAGAGATGCCAGGGAGGGGTGGTAGGGAGGGAAAGACGGATCAGTGGATGTGGTGAACAAAGAAACAGGTGAATGAACGAGTAAATAAACGAATTCGGCCTGTCTCATGGTGTTTGGCCAGCTATCAACTGCCTTCCACACTTGTATGTTCTTGTACCTAGTTTTGGGCATGTGTGTATGCAGAGGAGGCTCAGGGATGGGACCGGGGAACCACCCATCTCATGTGTGGACTCTCCAGGGTGGGCTGTACCTCCTCCTGTGTCCTCCTTGCTCCTTTGCCCCACCCGCCCGCCCAAACCTACGGAAGGCTGGGCCTCATTCACTTCCAGGATGCTTCTCACTCAGGACTGTGCTGGGTTCACAAGGGCAGTGTGGCCGGAGTGCGGTGGCCAGAGGTATGGGAAGCACAGACAGCCCCCAGCCCTCCTCCCTCCCCACCATCCTCCTCATCCCGCACCCTGCCCTCCCCCTACCTCTCTTGAGCAGGCCTGTCCTCCCCTCCAGGCTGCAATTCCAGCGCTCGTGCCGAAACTGGAACTGGCACTCAAGCAGGCTGAGGTGGGCAGCGTCCTGCAGGGTCTCAGCCAGGCCAGGCTCCCGCCGACAGAGCTGCTTCTGCCGGCGGGACAGCTTCAGCAGGTCACACTGCTTCAGGTGGGCCCCACCCTGCGCTGGGGCCGCCGCAGTGCCCAGCCCTGGGAAGGGCGTCAGGACCTCCCGCCCGGTCAGGCTGGAGAGGGCAAGAGAAAGGAGACCTGTGACCCTTAGGGGTTGTGACAAGGCAGGGGGGGTAACAACAAGAAGGGTGACAATCCCCGAGGACGTGGGCAGGTGAGGGGAAGGGGGCCTTCTGGGGGGACTTCACTATTTCTGGGAGGGAGGACAGTCCCATGGAGTTATACTCCCATTTTGTAGAGGAGGAAACAAAGGTGCTCATACAAGGGCTAGTGCGTGCGGGACCCCCGAACCCATTTTCCGGATGCCAAAGTCTCTGCTCTTCTTACCCAGTCTCTTAATCAAATTTGCCCGATCACAACAATCATGCAGGGTGCTTATTAAAAATACAGATTCCCAGGATCCACATGGCAATTCTGCTTCTGTGGGTCCAGAATGGGGCCCGGGTAATCTGTATATTTAACACAAACCCCGGCAGCTTCTAGTGATCAGGGAAGTTTGGGAAATACTTCGTGCAGCACTGGCAGCTGCCTGGAGGGGAGGCCACATTCCTAAGAGGGGCGGGCAGAGCGCTGTAGATGGTGAGCAGACACCAGCCCCCCTCCCTGGTAGCCCGCTCTCCCTTCCACCTGTCACTGCCCAAGAAACCCCACGCCAGCCTAACCGAGTTCCGTAATTCCCAGATAGATCTTTAACCATCTGGCCACTCAGGACCTGTTACAAAGAAATGTTTGTGGAATACCCGTTGGGTGGAAGGATGGACGGAAGGAAGGAAAGAGGGAAGGAAGGAAGGGTGTGTAGGTGGATGGATGGACAGATGGGTGAATGAAGGTGAAGGAGCTGAATTTCTACCAAGCCATGAGCTCCAGACTTCCTGTTCTACCATACCCGAAGTTCATGGATTCTGGAGTTGGCCGCCAGATTCTAATCCTGACTTCCTAGCTATATGACCTTGAAGCCTTGGTTTTCTCCTCCAGCAAGTACAAACAGTGGTCCACGCTACCTCCTGGGGCTGCTGGGAGGATTGCATGGAAAATACCAGCCACAGTGCCTGGGACATGTTTGTTCACTTTCCTGCTAGCTGGGTTTCTTAAAGTTCTTTTCTCTTGCAAGATGCTTTACTCCTTAACTTGGGCAGAGTCTTCCCTTTGTCCAGATAAGGAAACGAGGGTTTTAGGAAGAGGCAGCAACTGGCCTGAGTCACCCAGCGGAGCAGCAGCAGCTGGGGACTAGGATCAGAGCTCACCTCGCCTCTCCCCAGAAGCTCTCAGTGAAATGGTTCCACGAGTTCAAGAGCTTCGCTGTCATGGACTCTGGTGGCCCTCTGTGTGCGTGGAAGCAGCTCCTTTCTGGCAGATACTGGCCTCGTGGCCAAGGTGAAAGAGCAAAGGCAGAACCACGAAATGGCTCTTAAAGCTCTTGCTCCAATGTGGCCCTTGTCATTCCTGCTCATGTGCCACTGGCAAGTCCTGGCCAAGCCCTGAGGGGTCAGAGAAGCCCACGTTCTATGGACACAAGGGCCCAGGTCTCCTGTCTGGAGCCACCTGCCCCAGCCAGGGGACATCTGGCTTGATGCCACACCCTCCCTGTCTAGGTGGGTATGGGTCCTGGCCAGGTCCCAGGCGTCCCCAGAAAGTGACCGTAGATTCCAGACCCATCAGGTGTGGCCAACCCAGTATGGAGTGTATCTTTGAAACCTCTGAGCAGAGACAGATGCTATCAGGCTCCTCTGGGCCCAGCCCAGCCCTGGGTTCCCCTCCCAGACGGGGTGAGGGCAGGGGCCCGTTAATCATTAATCTGGGGGCAAATGGGTAAATTTCCAGTCCACCAGGTCTACACCCAAACCCCTCCCTGCAGCCTGGCAGGAAACCCTTATAGCTTGACCCTTGGAAGGTCCACGGCAGAGCCTGATGTCGAGTCCAGCAGAGGAGGCCCCGCCCTGCCTGCCTTCCAGTGTGGAGGGCCACTCGGGGGCTTCAGGGAGCAAAGGGGCAGCTGCTGCATAGCCCTTCAAATGTCCTCCCCCCACCAGGGGCTGGTGTGAGGGTCGGTTTTAGCTGATACATTTCCTGTGTTTCAGAAATGGGGACCTTCCTTGTAGCAGTTGATTGACAGGTGAGAGAACAAGCAAGGAGTGATGGGAATTTTGACCAGTAGGGCCGCACAACCCTTGAAGATCTGTCTCGAATGCCATTAAAAAAAAAAAAAAGATTTATTTATTTATTTAGAGAGGGGAAGGTAGAGAGAAACATTGATCAGTTGCCTCCTGTAAAACAGGCATGTGCATTGTCCGGGAATCAAACTGGTGACCTTTTGCTTTGTGGGACAATGCCCAACCAACTGAGCCACACAAGAATAATAGCTATTTCCCTGGCTGGTGCAGCTCGGTGGATTGAGCACTGGACTGCAAACCAAAGGGTCACTGCCAGTTTGAGTCCCAGTCAGGGCACATACCTGGGTTGCGGGCCGAGTCTCCAGTAGGGGGCACTCGAGTGGCAAGCAGAATTGATGTTTCTCTTCCCCTTTCTCCCTCCCTTCCCCTCTTTAAAAAGAAATAAATAAAATCTTTAAAAAAAGGTAATAGCTATTGTTATATCATCATAGCTATATTGTATGATATGATATGATACAATATAATATGTGTACCATTTTGAATGCTTATTACTCAGGCCTTTAAAGTACTATGTGGACAAATGCTGGGTTGGCTGCATTTGTAGATAGAATGTGTTCCTTCTATCTACATAGATAGAAGGTTAGCATGTGGTCCTTGTAGATCATTTTATGCCCCTTGACCCTGCTGCTCTGGCCTGTTGATTGGACCAGTGAGGATCACATAACCCAAGCTGGGCCCATCAGTCCTTTCCTGGGGAATTTGAAATTTGAAGTAAGCGAGCATACAGTTGCTTTCTCTCTTTCCTTTTGGGTGACTGGGCCAGTAACTCGGGTGATAAAAAAGAGCTGGTCTGGAGAGGGACTGAACCAAAAGCATGGAGAGAGCGGAGGTGAGAGTGGGACGGAAAGCGTGGGACACTCTTCAGCCCCGGGTCCGGGTCTTCCCAAGGTCAGCTGCGTTCCTGCCTGAGACACTCCTGCCTGTGGAGCAGTGCCAAGGCTTGGAGCTGGTCTGTCTAACTACGGGTGCCTGCCGCCCCTGACCTCGACCTTGTGACAGCCGAACGGTCCCAGCCTGCCCTTGGGCTACATTGGGAGCCAGGCTCCCTTCCCCCATCCACGGGCACATGTTTTGTTTTTTTGGTTTTTAATTCCGTGTAATAGACCCTGTGATTGATGGCCCCAGGAGTCCAGTATAAAGTCGGTTAATTTTATTAGCGGTAATGACACTTAGTAGCGATTAATGGTCAGGAAAGGCAGCCAGCCGCACGGGGGCCTCGGGCCACAGTGGGCCTCGTCTGCCCAGGGCTGCTCCCAAAGCAGACTGCCAGGCACTGCCCTGCAGGGCCCGGGAAGGCAGCCGGAGCCCCTCCGGGACCCAGTTTCCCTCTCATCTGTTTTCTATATTGCAGTTTAGGACCATACCTCCTTTGAAGAAATGGGACCATGACATCGAATTTAGAAAACACCTCAAGGCATTCCCTTATACGGTGCTTGGGAACTCCTCCGCATGCCCATCTCAGGGCAGCTGCTAGGGAAGGCTTCTTCCTGGACCTCAGAAGAGTTCTAGCTGGTGCAGGTTCCATTCTGTTCCGGGGTCAGTGGACATGATCCCCTGCCCTCAACACACGATGCTCTCTGGCACCCCAGGCCCGAGAACCCCATCCACCAGGCCCCTCTACAACAATCTCTGGCTGACACATTAGTTGAGACCCCGGGGGAATAAACCAGAGAAGATCAAGTGAGGTTCATTAATCTAATGAATCCAGACAAACTGAGTTTTAATAGAAGACACTGCTCGCTCCTTGGTGAGTAAGGTCAGAGCTATCAGTCAAACAAGTGACCAGTGTTCTGAACTGAAGCACAGAGGGTGAACAATTTGCGTTCTTGCTAATTGCTGGTCCAGGCTGGGGGGCCAGCTCCTTAGGTTTCTCTGCCTGTGATCACCCCCCTCATTGGCTGTGCTGGCTTCAGCCCAGCTGGTCTCCCCCTTTCCTGCTTCCTGTCCTGCTCCCCCAGGCTAATTTCGAGACTCTCTTTTCCCATTAAGAAAGCAACAACCCCACGTGACCAGCTCTATTCTTCTCCCTTCTTCCCCCCAGTCTCTACCTTCTGCCCCCTGCACCCTTGGCCTGTGACCCTTAGGTTAATAACGAGACAGGAAGCCCCCATTCCCACACAATGAGAAGTGTCTGGCTTTGACCCCAGACCATCCCAGCCACTTCCTCGCCACCTTATCTCCCCCCAGAGTGGGAAGGGCGCCCCTCAGGACTTCATCTCACATACACCCCCACCCCATCCCCAGATCTCTTCTGGCCACTCCCGGCCCTTCCCGCCCCTGCCTCCTTTCACATTCCCCAGTGCTCACCCCACCCATGGTTTTGGCCGAAGCCACCCCATCTGGGATGACCTTGAAGCAAGCAAAAGAAGGTTCTCCAGGCTGTGGGGAAAGCTTCTCAGGAGACCACTTTGGTTTACCATCAGCAGGACCCCCAGAAACCATCAAACCCCTGAGAAGAAATAGGGTTCATCCTGGAGCAATCACCCATCACCTGCTAGAGTGTGGGGACCCAAGACTGTTTCGACCTGAGTAGCTGGGTCCCAGGTCTGTCCTCATCCACTGGTGACCTTGAGGATGTGCACTCACCCCCCCCCCGAGCTCCTTCCATCTAACAAGTACACGTTGACTGGTGGGAGAGCGCGACCAGAGCCAGACCGTCCGGGTTCAAAGCTGCCTCTCCCTCTCGCTAGTTGTGCCACCTCCGGCAAGGGACTGCCTCTGTGTCTCACCCTAATGACACAGGTAATCACATCCCTACTTCTCAGGGTGGTCCTGAAGATGAAACAAGTTCTCATTTGTAAAGCTCTTAAAACAGTGCCTGGCACATAACAAGTTCCAGATAAGCAGCATTCTTAAGCACCTACTCTGTGCTGGGCACTGTG